CTTTATCAAGTGAGATTTTACCCAATTCAGATCTATGAAAAAACAAGAAAAAACCTCACAGATTTATTAAGTAAAACTGATTAGATGATCACATAAAAGAAGTATGGTCCATGAAGCATTCCTTATATACCTCATCGTCGTTTGTGCAAGCTGTGTGATTGCAAATTCCGGATCTTCTACGCCATAACTTGCTAAATACGGGTCAAGAATCCTCAGGTACAACACTCCATCTATACTTAATGTGACATTGTCTGTAACAATACATGAACCGTCAAGTTAACATATAATGTTAGTGTGCCAGCAACCTAGCGCAGATTAGTACACAAATACTTTGCATAGAATGTCTAAGTCTATCCACTGTTTGTTTCTTGCATAGTTTTCTCATAGTTCTCATAGAACTGGGGGTCAAACAACATGTTTAATGTTATAACTAATGAAATGTGTAACGAAATTAAATATAAAATACAACAAAGAGATGTAAAAAGTTTTATATATGCAGATCATATCATATCATTGCATGATGGTGAGAAGGAAAATTATATAAGACCAAGCTAATGGGAAAGATTAAGCGAGGAAAACGTAATTCGTATGAATTTCCACTTGCTTCTGATTATGGGTATACTTAGATAATTTTTAATTTGAACTCGTGGCAACTCTCAACAGTTCCTATGGTGGCATAATTTTAGACCACACAAACAATGAGACTGCAGGTCCAATTACTTCTTTCAATCAGAATTATTCTTTGTATTTTTCTGTGTTGGGCCGTCAACGGTAAAGTACTTGTGATGATCTAAGAATTTTCTTTATATAAGATCAGGAAACCTCTGTGGCATAGGGGATCCTGGGTTGAATTTCCAAAGAGAATACAATCTATTATTATAAGGATTTTATAATGTAAGCCTTTGATGTTAGTAAAGTAAATTTAAAAACTGCTAAGATTACCAGCTTCACTGAAATATAAAAAAAAATACATTGATTATGAAATATGAAGACCTTCCTCAGATTTTTAGCACTTGCCTGAAGTGATTGCGCTTTGTTTTGGTACGTCAATGGCAATTTCCTTAAGACTTTGAACATACTTCACTTCATCTACAATTGGTAACAAGATGTTCAAGCCAGGTTCAAGTATCCGGTGAAATTTTCCCATTCGTTCAACAATCCATGCCTAATCACACAGGTAAAAATACAAATAATATAATTTGTAGTGGACAACACAGAAACATTTCAAACAAACTAAGACATCCACAATGCAAGTACAAGATAAAGATATGTCCTAAACACTAACCTTAGTAAAAAACAAAAAGGAGTTTACTATACTGGAATTAAGTTATTCGGTAATCTTCCCACTATAAAAAGTCTGAATCACAAAATAAAGAAGTTTAAGTCAGCAATAAAAGATCATCTCCTATCTCACTACTTCACAGAAGAATTTAACTCAACTAAAAATTCTCAGCTATTATAAATACAACCAACAGTGATGATGCTCTCCTATGTATTTTTTTTTTGTAATACTGTAGTTGACTTTTGGTACTTTACTCATTTACTAAGAGCAATACAAAAACATTTATATTTACCTCTTGTTGAGGAACAAACATGATTATAGTGTTGATAGGAGTAGATGCCTTCTCTCTAACAGACATTAATTGTCCACATATCAGAGGTTTGTGATCCACGAAACCAATAGCAGGAACTCTATTCTGGTGAATAAATACAATTTAATGCTTAAAATAAATTATAATTTTTCAGCCCTGAATAAAAAATTGCCATCCAAGGTATGACTCAAATGTTTCACTTATTGCAGAAATCATACACCATTTCAAACATCATTTCTTAATCCTTGTTAGGCATTCTTAGAGTTATTCTTATTGTTATTTGCTATCATGTGAACACTCTAGTCAACAATTGTGTGCAGTTGCAATCAAATAACAACTGAATAACAAATATCTGTATATAGTGTGCAAGAAAATATAAATGGTTTCAAAATAAATAAAAAGACATAACATGCATACAGTGTGTAAACTAATATAAAACCTTTGACATAATCCTGGCTGCAAATTACACTTGTGACATCCATTCAAAACAAAATGTGTCCCCATTCACACATTCCTTCCCAAGCACATGAAATGCTCTGAGGGTTGAGCAGAATGAATTTTTGCGTTTTGTCTGGTCTATTTCCATGACTGCAAAGGCTGTTCAATTATTGTAAACAATAATGTGAATAACCTGCATTGCTAATATATAAATAAATGTGAAACACTCATATTTCACTAATATGATTAATATAATACATTCAAGATCGGTTTTCCACTGAGATTATCAAAATTGAACTTCTCGTAGCATTTCAGTCAATTCTCTTGACAACTACCGGGCCCACGGTGAAAACATAACCTCAAACAAACACTTAAATTTTACGTCCCATTTTAAAATATTACATTAGTTTTGAATCTTTTTCACGTGAAGACTATAATCGTGAACACGAAGTCGCTTCAACTATAGTTTTAAGAAGTGAATTACGTAAATTTGGGATATAGTACCGTGAGATGTGGTAATTTCGATGCACATAACCTGATCCTTGACAGCATTATTTTAAGTTTTCAAAAATAGAGTATGCACGTGTACATGTAATCATCAAATTAAGTCACTGAAATACGAAAGTTAACAAAAACCTCAGACGTTCAAACACACTAACTCAATAAACACACGGAACTTTACATGACCACGTGAAGGTTGTATAGACCTTAATCTGTGTTTTTTGATACATCTGTGGCTATGCTGCGTAAATTTTCAAACTAAAATAATAAAATTCACTGAAGACATGGTTTATAATTTTTTTAAAAACTGTAAGTTATGTAATTTATTAATACACTTAGTAGACTTCCAAATAACGTACATTAAAATACAAAATAGTTTTTACGGTGGATTTGTGTAATCTTATACTGTTTGCTTTGAGGTTAGGTAAGTTTTGGAGTAATAGCTATATATCAAATCCTCGACGAAGATGGCTAAAGACATCAGCGGTGAAATTTAATAGATGATCAGCAGAACATATTTTATTAGGTCATGTAAGGGACGAAGGTATTAAGAAATTTGGACTAGGCATGTACCCAGCTGAAAAGAATCAGCACTGTGTAAACAAAAGTGGTTCGATAATGTTAGGATGAAAAACATGGGACAGTATTCAATTAATTTAATCATATGAATGCCACTTTATACTGCCTCCATTATCACGAAAACAAGGCAGTAAGAATCTGAAAGTCAGTAAAATTCACCATGTATTTTTCTCCTCAGTGACATCAGAAGCCACGTTAAGAGGAATCTCATCTGTCTTGCATAAGCAACGTTTATTTTGTACAGCAGCACAGGCTTCACAAATATTGGCTACAAATGAGAAGCATATCACAAGCTTTCGGACTGCAGAAAGTAACCCAGTAAGTATTTGTTATTTTGTTATCAATTTTATTTTGTACAGGATCTTACATAATGATATATTAACCCATTTACTGTTGGTGTAAGAATTTTAATGTTTTTGGTGAAATTGAATGAAAGACGCATAAAATCTGTTAACAATAATTTTGTTCCCACTAATATGATGGTAATTCAAATGAAAAGAGTTGTTTTGGTATGATATGTGTCTACTGCTTTATTATGTGGATTACTCATTATTTCTAAACATAGTTACCTTCTTCCTTAACGCATGTCTTCCAAAGATTCAACAGTGCCATGGAACTGTTTTGGTTGGTCACACAATCTGCTTTGTGCTGCGGACTGTACCTCCTTGTCTGTACACAACTGATGGTGATCTGATTTCTTTTTAACATTCTGCGAAAACCAAATTGTGGACAGTGAGTTACTTTGTGAGAAGTCTGATGTTGAGAGTGCAAATATTAATGTCAAAGTTGGAATAAAGATAATTCTAAGAAATGAAATATTCAAAATTGACAAAAGAATGATTACATAGTTTCTGCTTTAGCAAGTGTTCCATACAATTATCATATTTAACAATATGTTTTTTTTGACAGCTACCATGTTCACCTGATCTCATAGACAGTGTGTCCGAAAACCTGTTGATGTATAATTTTAAATTTTCCAGCTCAAACACAACTTTGATCATGCGTATCGGTTCTACACTATCCCTGTAGAAGTTAAAAATCAGCTGTTTCAACATGGAGGACTTCCAAAATATTTTAATGAGCAGGCAAAAGCATTTATGGAAACGTGCGTCATGGTTCGAGATCCGGCTCTGGAGATTTTACATTACCTGAAAACAGCTGATTATTCACGTCCTGCGATTAGATATGTAATCTGTATCCTTTATCTTACACAGTTTTATTAGAAAATAGTAATAACCTATGTATTTTATAAAATCAAGAGTTTTTTACTTTCTGAAGTATACGAACTTCTCAAACATGTTATTTGTTGTTCTATGTACCCTTATACAGAGATTTGACATTAATTTTTTTTTTGTAAACTTATTCTTCACAAGAGCTAATTAACAGAAGAAAAGCAGTCACTTGCGTGGACCCCTGGTGTCATATTGAACTCTCAGCAGTGATATTCAGGCTCAGGCCCAGGTGATGTAACTTATAGCCAGCTCAGAGCACTCGTAGCAGATATTTGTGACAATATGTAGGCTACAAAAAATGGTTGTGAAATTTTATGTGAATGCGAAGGATAGATTTGGAGAAAAACAAGAACTAGGTTCTGAGGCAAGGCCTGAATGTATTTTTTATTATGTGTCATTGAAAATTTTGCCTAAACCAATGTTCAGATGGTGAGTCTGGCTGTGGAAAATCTATTACTCTAGCACATATTCTTCATTATGGTCTTACAGCAGGGTTTCTTCTCATTCATGTGCCTTGGGGTGAGTAGTGGAAGTTTGTTTATGTACAGAAAAACATACTGATTTTAAAAATCTTAAAACTTTGCATACCCTGTAGTGTATTAGAATATGAAATAAGTAAACAAACAACTATTAATAACATAAAAAGACATTATTGCCATACGCATTAAAACCTCAAGAGGTCATCATCAACGGCATCAAAGACAATTAATTCATTTAATCAAATGGTTTAAACTGGATTTAGAAAATAAATAAGGTGTTTCACAAAAGTATTTCAAGCGATACTGCACTAGATGCTGTTATTCACAGAGTAGAACTATGCACTTAGGTATTGATCCGATGGTTCGGTGGCCGTAGCTGGTCTGCGGCGAGCTGTGGTTGCGTCGTCCGTACCTGTGAACTTCAGAATCGTGGGTGAGCTGCCACTGATGATGACCTCTTGATGTTGAAACGCGTATGGCAATAGTGTATTTTTATGTTGTTAATAGCTGTTTACTTATTTTATATACTGATTTCAGCTGTGTCACATATTTTTGTGAAAATGGGCAGGTCACATGTTTTATGTGACTTGAACATGATTTTAGCACCAAGAAGTCTCCAAGTACATGTTATATTATCACATAATATTAAAAACCACCATAAAACTCAATAGTAAAACCATGTAATTTAGTGTAGTTCATAATATAGTCAATTTCCAATTTAATACCATATAATGTCACTCCCATTTAGGCACTTGAAATCGTCAGTTGTTATTAAAATCACAGTTTATCACCAGTTATAAAAAACCATGATTTAAGAGGCATAATCCATATCAGTAAATTTGTCAGTGTCTTGGTAACATTTAGTAAGTAATGCCCGGGAGAAGCATCCTTCTGACAGTTACAGCAGTTCATCTAGTCAAGAAATTCCCTGCGAAGAGTCGTTATTATGTGCCCAAGATCCTGACCTAACCTGGGCACAGTTAATCCAGTTTGAATCATTACACCCTTTTTTTTTAAAAAATATATTTTGATATCATTATTCCATCTGTGTCTAGCTCTCCCAAGTGACATCTGCAATCATGTTTAGTACGATATAAGTCCCATATTTTTAATGTAAATGTTACAGTTCCAAACTGGATGAGAGTATGCAAAGAAGTTTCCAATTCAGCCACTAGAGAAGGTTACGTAGACTTAAATTTGGATGCTGCTGAATGGTTAATCCATTTTAAAAATCAGAATGCAGCTTTATTGAATAACATCGACGTAAGTAACTCTCCATTTTGAATTGTTTTTTGTACGATTCTCAGAATAAACAGGTATTATTTCCTTCAACGGTATTAACCAATTGATCTTTGTAATGAAGAAGTGATGTTTTCTTTGAGGTACGGACTGAAGTCTTAGATATTATTTGAATGAACTTCTGCTTCAACACGGTGCTACATTCTGTGGGTCAAAGAAAATGGGACTTGATACGCAACGTAATTACAGTTATTAGGATTTGAAATTATAATTTGTCTTGTATTTGCCTTTTACTTGTAGAGTAATTCTGTAACGTGTCATAAATGATGACTCTTCATCTCATAAACTACTACATTTATCTCTGCCTTGCAGTTGCGTGTCTCAAAGGAGTATGCTTGGAGCAAACGTGAAAAAACTGAAGAAGGAGTCCCTTTATTAGAGCTCGTAGAACATGGGATAAACCGCGTGAAATATGCATCTGAATGCGTTGTCGCGCTGGTGAAGGAAATCAAATTACATTCCACACAAGGAAGGTCAGAATGTCTGCTTATATTCTGGGGTTATCATCATCATAATATGATAATCTTGAAATTTTTATAGTAAAATGTTATTATGATGCAAGTTTTGTTTCAGTAATGTAAAATGCATTACGCCAATTGAAATTATTTCTAAACTTTATTGTTTGGGAATAGGGGATTTAAACCCTGTACTGTAAAGCGTAGCCAGTTGGAATGCACGTAAGCCATGACGCGTGCCCGATAAAGTTTAAAACTTGTGAAACAGCAAAATTCGTAGTCTGCAATAGTTCAGTTTTAAGTGAAACAAATGGTTCCTGCCCAGGGATTACAAAGTTGGATGTGTTTTTCAGCACTGCCTACCATTCTAGACGTATCATTAATCCCTCCAGATGGGGATTCAGTTAATTATGAGACTCTCGTTCACCTAAAACAGCTTTAAGAATCCTGGGCAATTATTCCCAGATTTTAACAAATTCGGAACACACGGGAAAATAATGTTTTTATCTGAATATGTCTTGAAGGATACATAAAAATGTATATATTTTTATTCTTTTCAGGTGTAAGACTCTGGTCGTGATCGACGGATTCAACGCCTTCTTTCACCCTAGAACACGTGTGGTGACGGCAGAGAAGATTCAAGTTCCCCCATCAAAGATAACATTGACTGAAGCCTTTATAGAGATCACTAAATATGACTGGGTTCGTATTAATTTAAAATCACTGTAATTTTTTTCGTTCTGACAGACTGACACGGCCACTACCTGTTTCCTCGTTACCTTTGGTTACTTAAAAATGTGTAAGAATCTGATTTTGTCAAAATGGGATCTTGAGTTACAAGACCTGATATCTGGGGTCCGCAGTGGCCGCGCGGTCCGAGGCGTGGGCCTTGTGCCGCTTGGTCACTGGGACCGTTGGTTCGAATCCCACTCAAGCCATGGATGATTGTCTATGTTGTGTTGTCCTGTGTACAGGTAGAGGCCTTGCGACGGGCCGCTCCCTCGTCCAAGGAGTCCTACCGAATGTCTATAGATCAAAGCCAACGAAAAGTTGGGACCCGCAGTGCTCACGCACTTGAAGAACGGGTTGTCCCAGTATCCTAGATATCTGAGATCATCCATAAAATGCAGATAATAGTTTTGTAAGATAATAGTCATAGTAATTATATATGGCCGATAATTTTTCCAATAATGATGCCCCATTTATCGCTATGAGTCATTTTCTAAACAGTTGAGGGACTTTGATTTCTGCCAAAGGAAATTATCGATACTTACTGTTTGCATGTTTAGAATTAGTAAAATAATTAACGTGTCCACTGACTGTGTGCGACTTTCTGCCATATTTTATTTTATCTTCGTCATCCTTTGCTTGTTCCTTACGTCACCTTGTCGTACTATATTCTACCGTTATTTTCTCCGTAAATAAAATGTTATAAATTTTTAAGTGAAAGAATTACAATTAACATTTTTTACAAAGTAGAAGACCTTTCAAAAAAACCTACTTTAAAGCATCACATGCTTCACGTAATTTAGTGTACGAATCCTAGAACCAAATATTATTTTGCTTTCCACTGAGAAATACAAAATTATTTAAGAACTCGTGGAATACCAGAATGTGTGACGTCGTGGTATAAAAGCTGTTTATAATTATTAATTAACTTCACTCGTTACATAATTTCAGTGCAACGGAGCCGTGATCTTAACCGTCGACAAGACCGGCGTAGCCGACGACAGGCGCGAATCGTTCCTCCCGATCTATCAGCTTGGAAAAGAGGTAAGGGGTCCACTGCTGATAAAATTATCTCATTTAATTTGTGTCTTTTTAAGTAGTTGTATAAAAAACTAATTTTAATGATAAATAAAATTAAAATGTTTAAGATTTCTAAGAAAATCGTCCGAAACAAAAGGTTTAGAACTGAAAGGACTGGAGTTGATGGTAAATTTACTTTTCTATAGATTAATCGCTGAAAAAAGCAATTTCGTTACATGAAGGTTTTATTTCTAATGTTAATTTTGTTTTTGTTTTTATTAAAATAATTATTGGAGTATTACGTAACATTAAAATTTCCTTTACCCAAAGTTATTTTGAGTCTAGCGCTTATGTCCGTTGGCTCCCAAAGAAATGTAGAATGGAAATTTCATAATCTGAAGATACAACGCGTAATCGTCTATTTAATCTTCAAGGGTTTCGAGCACTTGGATCCGTTTGTGCCGATTTCTGTACGGGAGTACAGCGAAAAGGAACTAGAAAGTTGTCTCGATTATTACGTGGATCGACGCTGGCTACAGAATGAGAAAAGTTTTACGGAAGAAGGAAGGAAAGAGCTTAAATACCTGTGTGGTATGAATCCTCGTCGTCTTATGCACGTATGTGCGCCTTTATAAGCCGCTCGGTTCGTCAGAGTGGTGGAAATACCAACTTAAATGTTTGAGAACTAGTGTATGTTTTCAGAGTATGTATGTATGTGGAAAAGAACAATTAAAGAAACTTCTTGTGTACATAAATTACATTTATTCATATCATGCAGTTGTTTTATTTTATCCCTCGATTTGCGCCGGTTCAATTTGCGCCGATTCAGAATAACGCCGATTTTGAAACCAGAAAGTCAAAAAGTGAAAAAAACGACAACATATTTTACTATTATTTATAACGTTTTACAATGTTTCTTGTACTGATTTTTATACTAAATCGTAATTCTTACATCGCTGATTTTGAATCCCTTTATTTTATTTACGTTGTTTCAGAGCTTTAAATGTAATGCCGTTATATTACTCGTCAATGTTATAAAATAGTTTCAATTTACGCCGGTTCGTCCAAGAACGCATCCCCGGCGTAAATCGAGGGCTACCTGTAGTTTGATACGTAATGCCATCTTAACATTTTTAAAATAAAGATCATAATAAAATTCAAGAATAATTATGGAATGTCAACTCCATTTTCCATCATCGCAAACCACGTCTCTAGCATCCATATTGATATGCTCCCATGTCCTTGGTCTGCCCAGTGGCATTTTCCAGAACATTACCCACCAAAATTATGTATACATCCCCCCAAATTTCCCCATGCGTTCTACATGTACAGCCCATCGTATCCTAGATTTCACTATCCTAGGTGACTTGTACAGATCACGCAGGTTTTCCGAAATGTGAATAATACTTCATGTCAATTAATTAATATCTACCCGATAGATGGCTCAGCTGTGATCTTAAACGAAAAAGTTCGCTCTTTTTTGACGAAGAATTTATGTCTCACCGATAGATGGCATAGCTTGTGTTTCCCAGCGCGACTAACCATAACCTGGTCAACATAAAGATACAATTTATTTTTATTGTTATGGCGGGGACAGACGATGTCTGTCATCTGCGGCCGCTAAAGAGCCCAATGTCCATCCTCAAGATAATATACGAATGTAAGATTTCACGTTCTCGCGGCGCTGCAACCCAGAAGACAGCCCTTTTCGTACTCGTCGCGGTGATAACTCCAAATACTGGTCCGGCCAAGGCCTTTACTGACCGGTTCCTATATCTCAAATCGGTTACACACTCGCGGCTTTCTCATCGCCCTGATGATGGTGGCAGTATGACCCTCCGAAACCTTGGTACCTGCTTACAAGTCCACACGACATTGCAGCCCCGAAGACTAAGAATGAAAATTCTTTTATCATATTTGCAGGATTGTATAATAAAAGGAATGTGTTATGGGAAGCCTGGCGCAGAGAGATAATGGACTATGACTATTATTTGCATTGACTATTTCCACCACGCCTTCTTATCAGACGTCACCAGGCTGCGAACAGGGAACGGGAGATTCCAAAAGTTGTTTTCCCAATAAAAATGTGTCCCATCATGTTGACTGTACGTTTCAGCGAATAATCAGCAAAAAGCAACATTTGAATGTTCTTGCCTCTTTTTTCTGTGAAATACAGGACATTTAGGGTACATTGTGACGGGGGTTCAAATGGACTTCCGCTCGAAACTGTCTAGTTCAGATTCTCAACGTCAGTGACTTACGATTTTATTGACATCTTTTTTTTTTCTCACTTCGTTTGCCGTATAACGGATAGAGATGCAGCCGTCCGTATAAATTAATTTGCATTCCGTAATTCGGTCGTGCGATGTGGCAAGTTACGAATGGAATTTTAGATTCTATGTAATTTTATAATTCAACTAAAAGTCGAATTCTCTTGTTCAGGGAAATTTAATATTGAAACGTTGTTACTTTCACTTCATTTTCCACCGGACGTCACAAAGCAATAATTAGTATTCTCACATTCAGGATGTGTCTAATTCGAATCATCTCCCCGAAATGGACTAGCCAAAGTTGAGTTTTCCTAATTTTCTTAGGCTTATGATTCCTTACCCTCCCCCCAAGCGCCTACATGGCGTATAGTGGGACACCTATACCTTTACTTTTATCTTACGAAACTCTTACGTACACAATATGGATACTAAGATCTGTATTAAAAATCACCACCTGCTACTAATTTCGTATTTTTTAAATCACAATATTCCATTAAAATGAAGATACGTACCCGATTCTTATATACAAAAATTCAACGAATTTCATACACAATATGTATGTAAATTTGTAAATATTTATTAAAAGGCCCGTATCCATCAATCAAACACACTTGTGGTGGAAGGAAAATGACGATAAACATTTAAACATTCTAACCCCCAGATTTAGGATTCGCTAGTGTCGATAAGGGTAAGTCGAAGTTGCTGAAACATTCATGGTATCTGGGTTTAGTAATGCCTTACTGTTGCCATGCGGGTCCGTGCTACAGCTACGCCTCGGATTCAAATGGAGTAACATAATTTAAATAGAACCTTATCGGCGTTTCGCCTTTACGTAGTGCAGTCCGTTCGAAAAGTGAACCACCGAGGACGTTGCCAGGGTAGGAATATCGCTAGAAGTGTAAATTACGTCTTACACCATCCAAATCCTACTGCCCAAGGTTTCAAGCCGCAAAGCAGCGAAGATGTCTCCAGAAAGAACGAAGTACAGTACAAAAGTGTATCAAGTGCCAGAGACATACGAAGATGCACTGTGCTAGTTCTATCAACAGAGAAAAAAATACTTGAGATGGAATTACCCACTGCACAGTTCCCAAAAAGCGAACGGCAGTTAACATAAGCCATTACAAATTTAGTTTTGAGTAATATATCAAAGTAACACCATCCCTCATGTAATTTGTTGTCTGAACCGTAGATAAAATTCTAAGCTTTACGATTTTAAAATATCTATTATAACATAAAGTAGCAATAACAAAACATCAATAATAATAATTATAACAATACATTGATAAACTGGAAAAGTCTGTCTGGATTCTTAATAACCCATAACCCACTGTCGCATTTTAAGTGTGTCCACCTTCTTCCAACTTGAAAATGAGATTTCCACTCGTCAATGAGATAAATCTATATTAATAATGAGTAATGAGGAATTTAATGATTTGTAATCTTGGCCAAATTATCAGGTTGATTAAAAGAAACAGGGTAGGAGAGACGAGTAGCATGCATGGGAAAATACACATTTGAACCAGAAAACCTCAAAACAGGAGACCACAACAAAAACCTACGTAGTAATAGGAGGATAATATTAAAATGGAGCCTACACAAAGAATACTTTACTGTGTGGATTATTTTTAACTGGATCAGAATAACAAGCAGTGAAGGCTTTTATAGACGGCAGAAGAATAAGAAATCTATTAACCAGGTAAACTACGAAGTTTTGAAGAAAGATTATGTACCATGTAGGTTGTAACTAGTTAGGAAGTTACACAAACTTTAGAGTGAAATTGACGTTTATTGCTTGCAAAGATGTATGTGTGGTACGTTATTAGTTTAGGCCTTCCAGAAGGTAAATTAATTTTCTGACGAAAGGCAGAGAAATCCGGCAATATTTTGAAGCGCGTAATACTCGTCTGTGGATGATGGTCAATGTTATTTAAACGAACATACATTGTAAGAGATACCCAGCTGAGATTGAATTCTCTCACGTTTTTCTGCAGGCAAGCTATTATTTAGTTTTATACGCGTAGTTTATGGAAAATGGAAATGCTTCACAGCAGAACGGAAGTGACGTAGACCTACACAAAAAAGGAGTAAATTTCGAAATGCATATCTAGGAAGCAGCGTTAAAACACGGGTAATGCAAACTCATGCACGCGATAGACAGACTGCTTTTATGTAGGGCCAAACCGAAATTACAAGGACAGTACCTCACCATCACGAGGTCAATAGGTCGTATCATACACTAACTTTATACAACGTCATAATGATACAATCTGTGTTACATAAAACACAGTTTAATGTTGCGTTTATGCAAAGCTAACTACGTTCACACCAGAGATACTTAACCCTTTAAATACGAGTGGTATTCATATGTACCAACTGCTTTAACAATCAACAAATCTTTGCGTCTTCACATACGTGTGAATTTTTGTATATGAGATTTGAAATTCTTACGGCGGTGAAGATGTCCATGTTGATAACGTGACTTAAAACGCAATATATACTTGTACTTAGATAAGTCTACTAACGTTTCGGAGTAACACATTTCCTCCATCTTCAGGGCTGTTAAATACGAAGACCAACATGGACGCGAGTATTTCTCTTTTTCGTTTTAAATTCCTAAACATTTATAATTAAAAGTTCTCAAAAATGAGCTGTTGTTACGAAAGACTCTTACCAGAAATCACAATAAATATTATGAGTATGAAAATAATCCAATATTAAAGTTTATCTTGCTACACAAATCCGTAGGAATTTAAAATTCTCTGTTTAAAATACCAACTTTCGGAACAAGGCCTAAAACAATTTATCTCCGCCAGTTATTTATCGTTTAGGTTCAATGATTTTGGTCGACACTAATCAAAGCTGATCGTTATTTTTGATCGATAATTTCGAACTTCGATTGTTAACAACCATTTCATAAACTGGCGATTCAAAAGACATGTACTTCAGAGTAACTGAGGTATTTCAACCCCAATATTACGCACGGAAGTATATTGGCTTGGTTAGAGGAGATGTTAAGATTTATAGGAATTCGATTGCGTTTAACGTCCATTGTATTGCCTGGGACCATCCGATGCATTTATCTATTAATATGATCGTGGTGGGGATGTCAGTTGCGTCGTTAAACGAGACAAACGATTCTCAGAAATGCCTCTGGTGGTCATAAAAATGTTTATTTAAATAAAATACTTGGCATTCTAATGTTCTTCATTTCTGGAGACTGTAAAAGAGAGATCTTGATAATTTGTTCCTATTTCCCTATTACAATTAGAAATAACTGTTGTAGATGTTCTCTGTTGACAGACATGAATTGGCGGAACAGTGCAATTTCACAGTATGCTAGTTGTGTTTTGTAAAAGGAGTGAATTACTTGTACTTTTATTTATGTTTTCTGAAACAGCGTAAACTTACGAGTGTACGTTAATATCGGTCGATCGATCGATCGATAATGTTAAGAAATTAATAATCGCACCAAAACTTAAGAA